GGGCACTACCAAAACCCCATTCAAGCAGCAAAAACAAAAGAACCGCCTATGAAGCCTTACAGAAACCTTGGGGAAGCCCCGGCTCGTGAAGGACCCCTTCTGCTCTGACAGAAGGAATTCGACTTCTGGCGTCTACGGTACCTGAATGCCTGTGTTGTAGAGGTGTAGGTCGAAGACCATCCCTTTAGAGATTTACTTTGAGTTTAAAGTTGGCCTAGAGTTTTACAGCTTTGACAAAGGCTTTTACGGCTTTTACAAACGCTTGGGTGCCCAAAACCCTTGGCTGTAGTGATTGGGCAACAGAGAACTGTGCAACCTTGAAACAAGATAGACTTGTAGATGATGAATGAGTCGAAGGTCTTGTTTGACATATGTGCTTTGGAGGCTCTGGGTAATGCCTCAATCGGGGTGGCCCAGAAGATCAACACGAGAGAAGCAAGACACCACACCAACATCATCGATTGGCCCTAACCCCAACTCTGAGTTCTCACTACCTCCAAGCAACGTAGTTATTCAGGCATAAATTATCTCTGTCTTATGCATGCTTTATATATCTCTATCGATGTATCTATCTGCACATATATATATATATATACAACCATATGTATGCGCATGTAGACATTCAGAATCGGAGGACAGTAGAGCATTGCTCCGCCAACTGATGCTTCCGCCCCTGCCTCGTCAACCGTGGGAGGCACGTCGCAGGTGTTCACCTAAAACGTGTGTCATGGCTTGGGCGCTGCCCCCCATACAGTAACAGTCTACAATAAGGCTACTATTAAGGCCCTAATAAAACTATATTATGAATATGCTCCTACTGCTACTGAGTGGGGACAGTACCAAAGTCAGGGGTCTTCGGCAGGCTGATCCTTTTCTGCTGCAGCTTGTACACTAGATAATGTTGTTGCTGCTGCTGCTGCTGCTACTATTACTACTACTACTGCTACTACTACTACTACTGCTACTGCTACTGCTACTGCTACTGCTACTGCTACTGCCACTGCCACCGCCACTGCCACTGCCACTGCCACTGCTACTCCTGCTGCTACGGCTCTGGTACCTCTATTATTACGACGCAAATACGACCGATTACAACGACGGCTTTCAACAACGACGACGACGAGGACACCGACTAAGATGACGAGCCACGACCAGCACCACGAGAGACGATGAAACCATTAACTATACTGAACTTAGAACCCTAGCAACAATTGGAATTCTAGCTGTTTCTTCGGGATTATAATGACCAAAAATCAAAACACTTTTCTAAGTCCCCCTAAGATTAACCTTATTCTTCCCAGGAGCCGGTGGCACGATCTGCAGCTCTGCGAAGAGCTGCAGGGAAAGGGGTGTGTGCAGGAGCACCTGCGGTGTTGCGGGTCTAACCTCTTCTTAGAGTTTAGGATTTAGGGTTTCGGGTGACTCATTCGTTTCGGAGTTAAGTAGAATGCAGCCGCTGGGGATTGGAGTCTTTTGTTTCGGTTTGAAGTTTTAAAGCTTAGGACTTTTATGTGTGTAGAGTTTAGGGGTAGAGGCTTCAGTGGCATTAGGGTTTGCTGCTGCTGCAGTCTGGTTTAAGGTTTCGTCTGCATAACGTTACTACGATTTATTTCGTGCATACTCTTGGGTCTTGGCAATCGTCAGAGTAATGCCCTAACGACGTTTTGCTGGTGTTCAACAGTCTGGCAGCTGACAATACAGACTATTGCAAGAAGTCGGCGATGCCTTCTCTTGCTGCCTTTCTTGGTATGTTTTCTCGTATTGGTCCTACTTTCTTGACTAATTACATTCATTGTGCTGACTCGTGTTGAACTAGACCCGCTTATGAAAAACAAATCCCAGTGCGGATTACCATTATTACTATTATTACTATTCTGCAAAAGCCATTGCGAAAGCTTGACGAGCAGGGATTACATTCATGGGGACCGGTGCACTCCTTAGGTTTAGGGTTTAGGGATTAGGGTTTATTGTGCAGGAAGCCAGCATAGACTAGGGTCATTAAGGTAATGCAGGATATACACCATCAGCTGTATGTCATGGGCTCCTTTGTACCCATTCCCTTAATAAGGTCGGCTACACATGGATCTGAAGAAACCGTACGAGAACCCGGTAAACTGAAAACGCAGACATGACCCAAGAACAACTGTAGCTGCACAAGCACTGTGTGAATTCAAATCTTCCACCCAAAGACAACCTGGGAGTTTGTTTCCCAAGATAGGGGACCCTTAAAAGTAGGATCCTCAGTATAAGGACCCAAAAATGAGGCCCCCCTGGTTTTTCGGGAACCCCCACATGCTTAACTGGGTTTCGAGGTTCACTTCTCTGTGGGCCGAAGGTCCCCCTGTTTGGCATAAACCCCGAGCTTTAGGAACCAAAACAGCCTTAAAACCCAAAGCCTCAGAACCCGGACCCGCAAGCCCTACACCCTTTAAGTTGCAAGTGTAGCAAGAAATACTTGTCGGCGACTTTTAGGCTTCAGTTACAGTCCTGCCAAGTTCTTCGGCTTCGGTGTTCCATGAAGCCCTAAACCTTAAGCCTTGTAAATCCTCATGAAGGCCCTCAGCCCTAAACCCGAAAGCCTAAGAGAAGCCGAAACTGGACTTGCAGCCGAACTGTCTATACCGAAAGAGACCATCATTTCACGGTCTGCGCCGTTTCGTCCGAGACCCTCTACGGTTTAGGTTTGGGGGCTGATGTAATTGCGGCTTCAGCCCCATATTCTAGGGATCAAAATAGCCCAAAAGCCTTATATAGTATGGTCTTTGGGCCCAAAAGCCTTAATATATGAGTCCTTAGATCCCTAGGGATAATGTTATTCGTGTCGTCAAAGCTGCCTTCTGACATTTTCCCTGTAGCGCGGACGGACTGTGGGCAAAGATTCTGAGCCTCCTTCGCACAAGCACCTCTTTTGAGGATACCCAGAGAGACCAAGTCACACCTCAAGAACAGATCTTATAACACAGCGGGCATCTCAGCGTCAATGGACTTGACTGTCTTGGAAGAGAGTTTAAGGATCAATGTCGCTCGAATAATAATTTTCAACGATCCGAATGAGGAAAGGGTGCCTCAGGCTCTCTGAGAACTAGTCACGGAGGCACAGCAAAATCCTGACCACTGCAATGGTTGCAGTGGTCCGCGAATTAATATAGGGGCCTTACGAATTAGAGTATAGAGTTTTGAGGTACATTATACTGAAGATGAGGAACCACCCATAAAAAGTGCAGGTAATTCTCAAGGCCCCTACTCGGAGCCTGTGCTGGCCACATCTACGGTGGTCGCAATGCAGCTCTTCTAAGGGGTAATAGAAGAGGCCTGAATGATTCGACAGGGCTTCGGTAGTTAGCAGACTACAACTGTATCGTGGAGCCCGAAGGAATGATATCATATACAGGAATGATAATGTATTATATAACCCTAGGGATCTAAGGACTCATGTATTAAGGCTTCTGGGCCCCAAGACCATACTATATAAGGCTGTTGGGGCCCCATGGGGTAACCACTGATTTGGATCAGGCCTCTACATCACAGTCTAGGGTAAAGGCATCGTCGATTGTCGACGTTTTTTGGCCACCCCTGATCGACCTCTGATGCATCTGGTAAATGCGATGCCCCTGGATGTGGCCAATACCCTGCAAATCCTACAACCGAAAACCGCAACTCCTAAGCCCTACTTCTTGAACCCATGTTGCCCTTCAGGTAAACAGATAAACATACAGAGCAAAACCTGAGTTGACAACCATACCTGACTTCCTTAACCCTTGATTAATTCCGAGACCCCCCCAACTACCGCCTAAAATACCTGAAATTCCAACTATTAAGGGCCATATGAACTCGGGTAAAGGGCTCTTTGAGGTGGGGGGGGTCCTGGTTAGAAGGATTTTTTGGTCGTCCCAGACGCGAGCTTTTACCCCAGGCCCACAATGGCGACAGGTGAGGACCACAATATTGAATATCTTATGCTGTTGGTGTATCATTAAGGCCGATACATAATTACAGTAGAGGCCAGAAAGTTGGAACATCATTAGCCTCATGGCCTTAATGTATAGGGAATCCCAGCATGAAACATCCTAAATCTATGTTCCAACTTTCTGGGGTTTACTATAAGAGCTCCAGGCAATCGATGACCCTGCAGCCTGAACACTGAACCTCAAATTTCATGATGTTGGGTCTGAACCTGCACCGTCGCACTAAACCCTAAACCCTAAGTCCTAAACCTTAACCTCAAGTAACCTATCTTTTTAAGGACTTGTATAAAGAAATCATGTTAGGGAACCCTAAAAAAGGTAGGTTCCCTAGAGGGTCCATATACACTACCATTATGGAATTAGGCCCCAAAAGACCATCCCTATTGTGGTTTTGGGGAGCTAATTCCATATTGGTAATGTATATGGACCCTCTGGGTTCCTTAGGGTCCAGGTAAACCTTAGCGGCTTGGTGTTCAGCATCTTCGGCTTCGAGCTTCAGCAGGGCTTAAGGGGTTTCAATTAAGGTACCATATATAGGGATCTATAAGGGTTCCTTTGAGGGATCTGTAGGGGTTAAGGGGTTTCATTTAAGGTACCATATATAGGGATCTATAGGGTTCAGGGTTCTAACCTTGAGGGCGTTGTGCGGTGCGTTGGAGGCTCAGCTTCGCAACCTTGCCGGAGCACCCGATTGTTCCTTTAAGTAGGGTTTTGGTTAGGGTTTAGGGTTCGGGTTTAGGGTTTAGGGCAGTAGTCGTTTAAGTAAGGTTTTGGAGTAATTATGCTACTATTCGCATTTCATGGGAACTATCAGGGCAACTAGAATGTACCAATCGTTCCGCCTCCTAAATCGCACCCTAGACCCTGTCAGAGCCTTAAACCCTATATAATATTAGACCTTAAATTCCTACTCAGCTATCTATATATATATATATATATACACACACACACACGCGTACATTGTCATGCCCTAAACCCTATCATCCAGACACAACGACGGAAGACGTCAGAGCAGCCGGAGAGTCACGGATGCTGTCAGCGGATCCCTTTCCTCGGATGCTCTGAAGCTGGAGGAACCTGGAGGACCAAATGACCCTTAAAAGTAGGGGCCCTTTACCCCTACCCTAAACCCTAAACCCTAAACCCTAAACCCTAAACCCTAAACCCTAAACCCTAAACCTGTATGGTATATGAACATTAAACATCATTTCGTCCTTAAGGAAGGCGCAGGCTCTTGCAAAGATGTTGGGGTTCCTTTGGGGTCAAGGGGTTCCTTTCAAGGGTTCCTTTAAAGGGATCTTTAGGGGTTCTTTTTCAAAGGGATCTATAGGGTTTGGGGTGTATATAGGGGTTTGGGCTTCAGGTTTAGGGGTTTAGGGCTTAAGGATTTGGGTTTAGGGTTTAGGGTTTGGGTTTAGGGTTTCGGGTTCAGGGATTCAGGTGCACAGTGTTCTAATACTCAGAATAGGTGCACCGGAGGAGAGTTAAAAGGGCCTCTTGTTGAGTGTACCCTCCAAGTATGCTACAGCCCAACGTTTCTTTGCGTTGAGGTTTTGTGCGAGATGCATGGCACATTTATAAGGGCTTTATTGCCCCAAACCCTAAACCCCTGAACCTTTAATCCTAAACCCTAAGCCCTGAACTCTTAACCCTGAACACCATGGTACATACATATCATAGCGAAATGTCTGGAACAAAGTATTGGCCATGTTCTGAGCCGCTATCTTTTTGTTTGTTTTGGAAGCTCGAGTCCTGATGGGAGAGTTGAAGGGAACTGTACCCTGCTAACATTCCATGTACCCAAATAGTATATACCTTGGCCCCAATGTACCTATATAGGGACTACTTTAAGGCCAATGTATATACTATTTAGGTACATGGACCCTTAGGGGTATTGACCTTTGCAGAGCTAAGAGCTACCCAGAGGCCCCATAGTCGTTCTTTTTGGGATTACAATCTAGGATTCTAAGTATGAGCCCCAAAAAGGAACTACTATGGGGCCTGTAGAACTCATGTATGCATAACGAAACCCTATTTCTGCAGATTTGTTTTCTCGCTATCCCTCTCTCTCTCTCTCTCTCGTGACTCTCGTTCTCGCTCGCTCTATCCCTTCATCCCTAATCCCCAAAACCCTCCCTTTTTCTCTTGAAGGGCGCTGCTCATGTATGGCTTTGCGAGTAAATCCAACAGGATGGTCCTCAAGGTCCAACCCAAAGGTACGGTTATGGGGGGGATACTTCCCTAAATCATAACAGTAATTCCTAATACAGAAACCCTACATTCTGCTATATAGGTACTTTGGACCCTTTGGGCAAGTATCTCATCATTTCAGGATAGGGGTAGTTCTCCGGATTCGGGTCCATTTTTAGGGTCCTTTCATACGGGTGACGTGCTATTTCTGGGACCGAAATCGTGACCCTAACTTAGAGAACTACCCGACCCATATGGCCATATGGGTGGTTGTCAAAATTATGGTCCCTTTTTGGATACCCTAAATATTAGGTGCCGTATTATAATAAGGACCCCAAAAGGGACCCTAATTTAGAGAACTACCCATATGGCCATACGGATCCCGGGTTGAAGAGAGATCTGAAGGCCACAAGCAGCAGTTCGGGGCCAGTTTGGATCCCCCAGCAGAATTACAGGTTTAGGGTTTACCTGTAACCGAAAAGACTTACATGTTTAGGGTACCTTATTATGGTTTCTATATATAGTTCCTTGGAAAGTAGGTCTTTTGGGCCACAGGTAGGGTTTAGGGTTATAGCAAATCCCAAAAAGTTGGAAACCGGATGAAGGACAATTAGTGCTGGGATTCTCTATACATGACTCTTAAGGATTGGGGCTATTGGGGGTTCCACTGTAGGTTCAGGATGCAAGGATTCCCACAAACCCCCAACTCAAGGTTCGAGACGGGAGGTTTGACAGATAAGCAAGCCTCATACTCCAGCACCCAACACTCGAGCTTGACCTTACGGTTTCCCTACAGCCCGTTCCGCATCTTTTGGTTCAGCATAATCCCTGGAAGTGCACGGTGTTCCCTGTTCGTGGCCCTTGCCGGGCACCCGTGGTGCTGCACAGCTGCAAAACCCTAAATCCCAATGCTGCAGAGGCGCGATTCTAGGAACATGTGCGTCTCTAAGAAGCTGAAATGATACCGCATCTGGTGCCGCCTCATTTCTGTCAATTCCGTTGTAGCTCCTTTAACGGTTTGGGGTGTAAGGTTTACAGGGTTTGCATGAAGACTCTAGAGCATTCCTTTGCCAACGGCTTAGTTGCACTACCGGTACCCTGGACCCGAAACCCTAAAACCCTAAAGCCCTGGAACTTACACACCAAGCCTTAAACACGATAGGTAGTGTCCGCAACAAAAATCCTGAAAGCTGTTTTTGAGGGCAATGGCTGCGTCAATCAAACGATAATTAGAATTGGGCCCTGGCCCCATGAAAGACGTTCTGATGGGGGTTATCGCGTTCCGGCAGGTTTTATTTCAGGCAGGTTAATAGTTGGATCTTTGTCATTTGATTGAAATGTCCCCGAGGGTCCAAGTACTTAATGCTCATATACTCTGTCAGTTGCTAACTTGAACAACTACCATCCTAAACCTGATTATGTGATCAATCGAACCCTTACCCCGAAACTCCAAAGGGCCGAATAATTAGGTACTCGGGTTTAGGATAGTAGCTATGTAGGTTTGGATTTTGTATAAACCCTAAGACCCTGAACCCTATTTGGTCAATTGGACCGTTAGGGTGCGGTCAAACGTTGTGTTCTTGGGGCTATAATACACAAAATCCTAAAACCCTAAACCATCCTAAACCTATAAACCCTAAAACCCTATACCCTATTTGGTCAGTTGGAACCTTAGGGTGCGGTCAAACGATATTTCTTTGGGGCTATAATCATAAACAAAACCCTTTAACCCTAAAACCCTAAGCCCCTAAACCCATAAACCCTATGTGGTCAATTGGACCCTTAGAGTGCGGTCAGGGTTCAGGGTGTCTTCCAAGGGCCGTAGTAATTAGAAGAGGGTTTTCGGGGCCCGTTATACTATAATTTTGAATTAGAATCCCCCCCAAAATAAACAATAAAGGAACAGTTTTCAGGGCATGTCTGAATCTTCGAGCCGTAGAAGCCTTCAGAAAGCAGGTTGCTGCACCTATCGCGGCCGCGGTCTGTAAAGGAAAGAACCGCTGCTTGCTGAGTGCCAGGCACTATCATCGCCTTGGCTGCTTGCACAAATCTAGACGGACAGCTGTTGATGGGGTGTATAGCGTGTGGCTGGCTGAGCTCCTCGGGAAGCATATCAAACCCTATCAACCCTAAAAACTGAACACTAAACCCTCAACCGTATCGACCACCAAACAGTCACAGCAAGCAATGCCCAAGCTTCGGCAATGCTAAGCTCTGACTAAACCCCAAACCCTAAACCCTAAACCCTAACTCCTAAGCCTTGCATGATGTCCTATTTTCCCAACCCTGAGCCCGAAATCGCAAGCGTCCCTGAACCCTAACAACTTAACGCTAATTCCTACCTGTACCCGACAGGGCCTACCTTTTCAAGGTTCATTATTATGGTTTCTATATTTAGTTCCTTAAAAAGGTAGGTCTTTTCGGCTACAGGTATGTCTTGCAGCAGGAAAAGCAGGTCTTCGGTTTGGGGTTGTTCAGGGATCAAGGATTCAGGGCTTGAGCTTAAGCTTTAGGGGTTGGAGTTGTTGCCTGCCGGGTTTGGGCTTTTCAGGCTTTGGATTCATTGGGAGATCCAAAAACCCTACTGTTCTCTGGAACACTCGCAGGGTCAGAACCCACTTGAAGGGTCATAACCTATTAATCTAGGGATGTTAGATACCCTATACTTATGGGCCATAACCTACTATTCTGTAGGGTTTAGAGAGATGCCTTTCACTCTGAACTCGGAGGCCTAGATTGAAACCTGCACCTCGAGGCATTGAGCCACACAGCGGCCCTTCAATGATACGGTTTGGGGTTTTAGAGTTTAGGAATGTGGATAGGAAAGCTTCGCGGTGTGTATATATCCGAGTAGGTCCATATCTACTACCATCACGGAATGAGGTCCCCAAAGGCCACCCCTACTCTGGTTTTGGGGATACGGTTGATGATATCAATCCTGCAGTACATCATGATGCTAGACTATGGGAATTATGCTATATTCCTGGTTATAGGTAATGCAGGATTTATATCATCAGCCGTAGTAGTATCAATGGATCCTCGTGTGTAACAGGTATTGAGGGCTATTGAAAACCCCATCCAGAAAACATGCCCGGCCCATGCTAGGTCGTAAACAACATCCTCTTGACCCTAGGCGCCCAGACCCATCAATCGTACAGCACCCAAAGCCCAGTAAGCCACTGTATAGGTGACTGTGCTGCAGCCGAAGACACAGCACTCTGACCCTTCTTGTTGCCTCAAAAAAGGCTCACAACAATCAAATCAAGAATTCAATGGGCATTGACCCACCAAGCTTGCAGGAAGACACAGACCAATACGGATGCAAAGCGATGAGAACAAAATGAAGCATGTGTGCACACACAGCTATAGATGTAGTTGTAGCTACAGATCTAGGTATAGGTATAGCTATGCTTGCATGTAGATACACAGATAGAGTCACAGATATTAGAGATATGGGATAAGTTTTAATGAAGGTATATACAAATAAATAAATATGTATATATATATATATATATATATATATTGTTCATCCAATGGTATAGTAAACTGTGGTTTACTGTAGTAGATTTTACCTGGCAGGTTTGTAGTCCACAATCATGCCTTTGCGCTCTCACGAAAGCATGCAGAAGTCTCTTAACTACAGTCCGTATTGCCATCATATTCCGCTCGGGATTCAGGATTTCCAGCATCCCGTGTACACTGTGTAAGAGGTTGTACATACTTTTTCCCATAAGTAGATCGCTCAGTTCTGGAATAGAATGTGTTCTGGGAGTCTAGGTTGGGGTTTTGGGTGCATCCAGTCGTAGGTCTTGCGGATAACTGAAGGTGTCACATAAGGCTTTAGGATAGGGTTGGTTTGGGAGCTGCCTTTCTGCGCTTTGCAACCGAGGTGTTACAGCTGATGCTTTATCTTTATGTCTCAACTACTCCAAGTTGCGGTGCTTTAGTGTCCGGATACCGCAAGCCCAAACACCTTCAGCCCCAAACATAACCCCCTAAACCCCTAAGCGCATAAGCCACAAGCCCCAAGCGAAAAGAACGATGCCGACGATGCCCTATATAAAACTGAAAGCCCTAAACCTGGTTTCGCCTAGGCTTCGACATGAGATCCCAAGCAAAGCCTTTCTACAGGTCAGCGAGCTCCACGACATGCTTGGGTGTGTAAAAAACGGGACAAAAACGCGAAAGGCTCAATCGCGGACTGCGTTTGAGGGTACATACGGTATCTTGCGGTAGACGGCTTGGGCATAATATCCCATAGGGTGAACTAGTAGTCGAAGCCGGAAGCTGTCCAAGCCACCGGTACGTCTTCAAATCACCCCCCGACGTGCACGCTCAAACCGTATAACTAACATCCACCTATCATTTCAATAACCCTTAAACTCTACATTCGATGCGGCTGAGAGGCGCAGGGGCACATGGAGGGGATCGCGGCACGCTCCGCGGCATCCCTGTAGTGGCCTTTGTCCGCAGGGGCCAAAACCGTACCCCACTTGTCGGGTATCATGGGGAACTATATAAATAAAGGTTAGCCTTTTCGGTTATATAGGGATTATACAGGGACTTTACTACTCAAAAATGTCAAAGGTTACCAACTCGACTACTAGGGCACAGCCTACAACCCCAAATCCGAGCATCCAGCAGCTCCTTTGAAATACTGACGAGATAAGACTCGAGGCCATGGAGCCATGTTTCCTAACGGTAACCAAAGATAGGTGCTTGAATCCACAGTCTAGGTAGGGTACATCAAGTCACAGATGCATGGCTAAACGACAGAGGCCTCATGAAACTGCTGCGACACATGCTTCGGGGCGTCGGCTCGTAGGGTTATGTAACTCTGGCTCTGCGCGGCAAACCGCACTTGAGGTCTAAACCGCCACCACCTGAAAATTGACCCCTATATAATCCCTAAGGGTCCAAAGGACCCAAGAATGTTTTCTGATAGTAGTTATGTAGGATGCTACTTGGGAGAGCATCTGATTAATATTAGGTGCTTTGACCCTTAAGGTTAGGGTTTTTAGGAAATCGTACTACTATCCCCTGGTAGTCCCTCTACAGTCAAGGTTTAGAGTATTAGGGACCCTAAACCCTCAACCCTAAACCCTAAAACCTAAACTCTGAACCCTAAACCCTACACAAAACCCTAAAACCTAAACCCTAAACTCTGAACCCTAAACCCTGAACCCTAAACCCTAAACCCTACACAAAACCCAGATCCGACAACCCCCCCCCCCTCCTCCTCTTCAGCACCCTCCCCTGGCCCCGAACGCCCTCAAGCCTTTGTGATTGTGGGAATTTCCGAAAATTCGGAGTACCTTGTTTATTTTTGGGGGATAACTTTTCAACCCCCGAAGGAATCAACCTTAAACCCTAGACCCTTAAACCCTAACCCTTTATTCCCATGTTCAGGCTTCAGGCCTTCCCGCGTCGATCTCTTTCCGTCGTTGCGCCGCGCAGGGCCCACCTGTGGAAATGCCATGGGTTCCTTCTATAGGGTTTAGGGTTCTGTAGGGGTTTTGGGTTTAGGGTTTAGGATCCCCAAATCTACCGGTTTAAGGGTTAGACCCTCGTTTGGGGATACAGGTAGGGTTCAGGGTTCATTGAGGGTTCCATAACGGCTTCTGCTATGCCAACATTTGGGGTACGCGGTTCTTCAAGGGTTTCTACATAGGTTTTGATTCAGGGCGTGGCTGACCATAAGGGTTACAGCGGTAAGGTTGCTGCTCCTTTGTTCAAGCATTACCCAATGTCCACAGTACCTATATAGTAGAATGTAGGGTTTCTATATTCGGAATTACTACTAAGATCCAGGGAAGTATCCCCCTTAACAATACCTAGGACCCTTTGGGTTACTGTCTATACTGAACTTAATTAGAACCCTAGCAAAAATTAGAATTTTAGCTGTTTCTTAGGGATTATAATAAGCAAAAAATAAAAAAACTATGTCTAAGTACCCCTAAGTCGTGCCTTTGGGGTCTACGGGCTTACACTCTTCAGGGAGCCTGGGTCTGGGACTTGAGACTTGAGGGTTCTGGGGGTCCAGTGTTCCCAAAGACTCCAACATCCCTTAATTAGGGAATATACCTTAAGTAGGGAATTTGCTTTATTTAGGGAATATAGGTTTAGGATTTATAAGGTTTCTAGAAGCCCTTCACGGGATTTTTAGGGGTCAGATACCTGGACCCGAAGGAACCTACCTTTTTGGGGGTTCCCTAAGATGATTTCTTTATATGAATCCTGAAAAGGTAGGGCATTTGGGGTCAAGGTATACCTTAATTCGGGAATATACCCTTATTTACGGAATATACCTTAATTCGTATTAGGGATGCTACTATAGTTTACAGTATATTTCTTAATTAAGGGATATTGGAGTTTCTGTGTTCTGGGTCAGGGGGTCTAATGCTCTAGAAGCTGGACCAAAGAACTATCAAACCCTCAGGGTCCATGTACCCCAAGCGGTATGTGAATTATGTGTCTGTCTACCTATCTTTCTGTCTGTCGGTCTAACTTTCTGTCAGTCTATCTAAGTAACGCATGCATACATGCATACATGCATACATGCTTGCATGCGTACATACGCACGTACATATACAGACACACTTCAGCCGGCTACTATCTTTGAAGGTTTACATATACCAGATAAATGCCTCAACATCCCTAAACCCCTAAATTCCCTAAATCCGAAATCCTGAACTTCCTGAACCCTAAGACACGTAGTGCCAACCATTTGAGCAACCAAGGCACCGCAGACCAGGCATCCACTCTTCACCAAGAGTTCGCAGGCCTGGTGTCGAGAGGGAGGGGTTTCATGGATACTGCAAGTGCTACCAAGGGCACATGGATTGTTGCATTTTTGTAGAGTTTAAGGTATTGGTGTTAGGATATAGAGTTCAGACTTTCTGTACGGTATTGAAAGTTTGCGGGCTGCAGGTCTTTAATTAAGGTTTCCCTAAGCCAGATGAGGGGTCTTTCATGGATCTTGCTTCGTGGTGAAACTTCCACATGTGAAACGTCGAATGATCATCGTTCGCGATTTTACAACCCGTAATAACACACATAGTGGCGTTAATGGTTAGAATGGGCTCTTGGGGGTTCATCAGCGTCTTGTCTTGTTAAGAAACCTAAGGCATAACATTGGCAATCGCCCGGGCCCCTAAACCCTGAACCCTAAGCTTCTGTATCACCTCACCAACGAACCAGTTGAAGCCGACACACCAAATCTGCTGAAGCAATCAAGACGCTTGAAGCCCAGTCGAACAAGCCAATCTAGGGCTCCGGGTTTAGAGTTGAGGTGCGAGAGAATACAGGTGCCTTAATAAATAGAATAGGGTTTGGGGGTATATGATTCCATAACTATGCTAAGGAACCGCCGAAAATAGTCTTGGTAATCAATTTTAGGCCCTTATAGTAAGAAGATGATCGGTCTCGACAGAAGGTTTCTGAGTGAGTGCTTCGGGCTACTGCATGGCGCAGTGAACTAACCCAAGGCATTGAAACACCCCAAACGCTACAGGCACCTGCCAGGTCATATGGGAGTTGCCGAAAATACGGGGTACCTTATTTTTGGGTCCTTATAACAAGGATGCTACTATTTGGGATACTATATCAGGGTCCCCTATTTTCGGAAACTCCCATATTCTTATACTCCGTGAAATTGGCTCGTCTGTGAGCACTCCTATGCTAAAGCCGAGTACCCAAGCATTCGTAGGTAGGTCGGACCTGTACAGGGTACATGTTTCATGGAGAGAGGTCGGATTTAAAACCCTACGACACCCAACGCCTTAGGCAAAGGACTTGTTGTGCACAGAATTTAGGGCTCAGTATTTCTTGTGTGGAAGCCTTTAACCCTAAACCCCTAAACCCGAAACCCCAAAACCCCTAAAAGGCCTGCTTTTTAAACCCTAACCCCTTAAAAGACCCTGAACCCCTAAACACCTAAAAGACCCTAAACCCCTGCAGCCCTAAACCCCAAAAACCTAGACCCCGAAACCCCTAAAGAGCTAAACAGTTTCTACAGCCGCAACACCTAGAAGCCGAGAGCAATGACAAAAAGTAGGCCTCACTGTGGCCACCAGCCGCTGCGAGCATCAGAGCTGTGTTGCCATCCTCCCAACACCGGCTTAGGGTTCCTTTAGAGTTTAGGGTTTAGGGTTTCGGGCTTAGGGTTTAGGGCTTCGGGTTTTCTGGTTTAAGGCGAATTTTTGCTGAGCCTGTTTTTGGATCTGCACCCCCTGTTCCCTGTAGGGCTTCGGGCTAAGGGTTTAGTGCAAAACCGGACTAGAATAGTTTCCTGAGCTCTAAACTCTAAGAGCAAGCCACTCCAGGACCCTTTGGGGTAGATTAGAGGGTAGTTGGGGGGGGGGGGGGCTGGGTTGTTTTTTTTTGTGTAGGTTTAGGGTTTCGGGTTGTCGTCACTGGGTTCTGCCATGACACTGCCATGTTCTTTCTGCTTCCTACTTGTCGGGTATCATGGGGAACTAAAGGTTAACCTTTTTTGTTTAATATAGGTGTTATATAGGGACTATACCCACCAAAAAAATAAAGTTAACCTTTTGGTTTAATATAGGGGTTATATAGGGACTATACTGCGCGAAAAAGGTTAAAGGTTACCTACTCGACTGCTAGAGCTTGTCACAGTTGTACCAACTTCGGGTTCAGCGGAGGGTTTGGGGTTTAAGGTTATGTTCAGGGTTTAGGGTTAATAGGGTTAAGGATTCAGGGTTTAGGTTTAGAGTTTATAGGGTTAAGCATGTAGGGTTTAGGGCTAAGGGTTTTTGTTTTAAGTCGGCAGTAGGGTTTAGAGTTTAGGGGCTTGTGGAGTTTGGTAGGGCTTAAGGCTTGCAGGTCAGTAGGGTTTAGGATTGAGGGTCCCTCTGCTGCTGTGCAGCCTGCGAAATCCTTTGGAGAGACTTTAGGCATTTTGGGTTTGTTTCCCTCTAGGCCTGAGAACGCATGTAGGAATACCTTGCGCCCCCCTAAACCCTAAACCCTAGATCTTAGAAGCTGCCCCCACCCTGTAATAGTGGCAATATAGGAATATAATAGGGCCCTAATACAATCCTTATAGTCACTATTACAGGGTGGGGGCAGCTTCTAACCTAGATCCTAAACCTTCAGACGTTTGCTCTTTCCAGTAGTGTCCTCTCCACATCATCGCACCTTGGACCCCTTTCAAATGGCCTGGGTTGCACTAAAACCCCTCTAAGAGCCAGGTTATCAATTTTTTAACAGCCAGGTTTTGAGACCTTATGATAATAGAAACAAAACAAGCGCAGGTCCTTAAGGCTTAAGGTCGCAGGCAACAACCACAAAGGTCGAGACAACCATGCAGAAACTGCTGGGCTTTGCTGGTCTTATGCTTGTGCCCGTGGCTTCCACCTTGACGGCAACGACCCTGCAATGATATGGCGGAGTAAGTAATTGCCATGAATATCGAGGAAGGCCCAAGTGACGTACGTTTGAGGTCGCCACAAATACTAACAGCCCTGGATTTGCCAAGTGCCGGAAACTGCACTGAGGTGCCTCCTGTCGAGCATCGAGGTTCGCACGGTAGTCGATGAGGACCTGCGCTCAAAACAAGGCAGGGTTTAGCTGGACCTCACCCCGCCTGAATCTGCGTCCTTTGCAGGGAATACATGCATACATGCATACGTACATGCATACGTACGTACATACATACATACATATACTACATACACATGCACATCCACATCCACATATAGAAATATATGTATATATATATATATACATATACATATATATATATATATACACATATACATATATATATATATATATATATATTCATATGTATATGTGTGTGTTTATATATATGTATCTATGTTACACGAAAGATATCATGATCAGGAGCTCAAAAACGCAAGGTGTCGTTGGTCGCAGGCACACGGGGCTAAAAGGGCTTTCGGAATCTGGGACTGAGTAAGCAGAGGCTTTAAGCACGGGACTGGTGCTACAACTATGCGACCTCCAGCCCACGGGCAACATATCGAGCTCACCGAATCTATACTGAACTTAGAACCCTAGCAAAAATTATGATTACAGCTGTTTCTTAGGGATTATAATAACCCAAACTTCCAAATCATTTCTAAGTAACTCTAAGGCACCTTCAAGACTTCAACGGGTCATCCTTCTGCTGTGCACGACGGCTAAATTGGTGTAATAGAGGGGATGTGTTAGGTTAGAGTACGGTTTGTGGTAGTGCTACAATTGGCCGTGGATATGATGACTCACGCCGCTATATCAGTCCAAGGGTAAAAGGAGGGACCCCAAGACGGAATTCTAGGTAATATACCCTTAATACAGCTATTATATACCCATTATATAGCCCATTATCGGGTCGGGGTCCCCATTAAGGGTCCCTCCTTTTCCCCTTTTGATATCAGGAATCAGGGTTAGGGTTTATGGGCCGGTTTTGGGGCTGATGCGGACAAAGGGCTCTGTGCGACTCTTTCGGAGTACACACATGGGTGGTTGTCAAAATTGGGGTCCGTTTTGGGATACCCTAAATAATCGGTGCCGTATTATAATAGGGACCCAAAGCCCAAAAAAGGACCCTAATTTTGACAACTACCCACATGCCTCAACTGACCCAAACCACTGAAGCCCGAAACCCCGCTCGGAGGGTCTTGTGTTTAGGGTACATGAGTAACAGGTTTGCGGAAGTATGAGGGGTTCCCATGGGTCCAAGTACCTGAGAATCAACCAAAGACGACACTCCTTGAAATCCCAATGCTAGATACTTGGGCCCCGTTGACACCTTAATTATAAAAGCCCGTGAGTTATTTGGTAGCACCCTTGTATAATCCCGTCCTGAATGCAAACGTCATCAAGTACGTAGCCTTCCTAGAGCATCGCCTAGGCCCCTTTGCTGTTGTGGGCCATGGGCCTCTGTAGGGCCAAACCCTAACCCTCAGGTTCAGGGGTTGGAGTTTAGGGGTTTAGGGTTTCGGCTTACCTAAGTCCTCAAACCTCAGTGAACACCTAAACCCTTAACCCAAAATCGCACACCCTAAACCCCTAAAACTCCCAAAGGGTCCAAAGTACTGTTATGGGGGATACTTCCTCAAATCATCATAGTAGTTCCAAGTATAGAAACCCTACATTCTACTATAAAAGCTACTTCGGACCCTTTGGGACTGAACCCCTAAGGCCCTAAACCCGACAAGTTCGAGCTTCCCTGCCTGCAGACTATCGACATTTCCCTTTGCAGCCGCCACAAGAGCCGCAGTGGCTTTTAAGTACCTGAACAGCCACAGGGATTAGGGTTTACATATTAGTCTCCTTCGTAATTCCTTCTGTTGGCTTAACCAAATATTTATTTTTAGGATCCTACAAGGTAACCCCAAACAAGGAACTACCGTGCAGACGGTAGGTAGGGTTTGGGGCCGATCCTAAGGGTCCATGTGCCCAAATAGCATATACTTTGACCCTAAAGGACTCCCTATATGGGTACAATGGGCCCAAAGTATATACTATTTGGGCACATGGACCCTTAGGGCTGCGAACGGGTCCTCATCAAGACTCCCCACTTCAGGTCTGATCCCTAGGGATCAAAATAGCCCAAAAGCCTGTTATAGTATGGTCTTTGGGCCCAAAAGACTTAATATATGAGTCCTTAGATCCCTAGGGAAAATAAATACTCTCCCAGATAGTAACCTACACAACTACTATCCGAAACCTAAGTACCTCATTGTTGGGTCATTTGGACCCTTAGGGTTATTGCCAAGTTATTGCACTGCCTGAACACTGTCTACCTATTAGTCTCCATTGTAATTCTTTTTTTGGTTAACCAGTTTTATGTATGGTTAGGGTCCTATAATAGAGATTTTGGTTAACCAAAAAAAAGAACTACAATGCAGACTACAGGTAGGTGCTCAGGGGACTTGTAAGCGAGACTTCGCCATTGCCAGCTCTCACAGCTGGCGGAGGCGGCCGCCTGACAAGCTCAAGATGGACCCTTATAAACCCTAAACCCTAAGCCCTAGATACTGCGCACATAGGGCATGGTAGATGGATCTGCCTCCTGCTGCAAAGCTTGCTGCTGCGCACTGTCCTTCAGCTCTTTGATCTCTTCCCGCATAGCGCGGAGCCCCTCCAAAAATGAAGGACATCATGTCCTCCTGCGCCAGCACGATAGATGGTTTCCGACACGGCATGACGATGTCTCCAAAACGTCGGAGATGCCCAAGAGTGCAGCCGAGGAAAGAATCGAGAAGACCTTTCCCGTCAAAGCTAATCTTTTTCAGATGCACTGGTCTAAGAGCATTTACGAATACGAATACAGACCGTCCAATAAGAATAAGAAAGCTTCTACGACATCGGAGAGACGGCTGCTTCAGAGGGGCGGGGCGCTCATGCAAAAACAGCTGGGTCACTTCGCACTTTGTCTACCCGGTCGCACCCTTTTTCCTACTATTCGGATCTAATCAGGGGACCTGAAAATGAAACGGGCAAAAGGGCACTGCTCAGGAGACTATAAAAAAACACAGAGGACATTTACAAATTCCCCGAACCTAAGTGCTGGCTCAAGATCCTCCCAACTCTAAGACCTTCGGGCTCATCCAGGGTACTAATAAGTTCATACGGGTATGGTACCGCTTTTTGTCAAAGCCGTTTGAGAGTATGATCCAAGTTCCAACCCAGAATTGAGACAGGAATGAGAATGGACGGTGAACGACGATTATTGGCATGCCACTCCTGATCTTTAATTCCTGGCCCCTAGCCCAAATTTAGATCAGGGTCAACAGCTCGGGGTTTTAACATCTGCAGCATATGTGTTCCCTGCATTGCAGCATGTCCTTTTGGGTTGATTTGATTGACACGAAGCAACCCTAAGCCTTAAACCCTAAACCGTTACGTTGTAGTTGTGTAAGTTTTTGAACCCGCACCCCAATCCAGGCAAAATCCTGATGCTAGAACCTGAGAAGAACCCCGCAAAGCCCGGATCAGGCTGAACTAGACAAACACGTGGCGCTCCATTAATTTCAAGGACATCTATACAAATCGATAAACCCCTGCAAACACAACAAACTGCAATAGCAAACCCATTAAATCGAATACAAAAGCTACAGCACCTTGTGCTACACATACTGCTGATGGACAAAATCCTGCATGACCTTAAGGACTCTAAACTATGGGAACGATGGTATATTCCTTATAAAGGGTAATGCAGGGTTTATATCATCAACCCTAGTCCCCCTATAGATCCCTTTAAAGGAAGCCCTATAGATCCCTTTAAAGGAACCTAGGGATTTTGTCCATCAACCACAGGGAACTCGTACTTGCTGAGATGGCGCACTGCTTGTGCCTGCCAACACGAGCCTCCAGAAGCGCTCGATGCTTCGGAGACGAAGCCTGCAAAACACAAAGGCTCCATGTACCCAAACAGGGTTCCCTTAAGGGTTCCGTTAAGGTTTCCTATAAGGGTTCCTATAAGAGTTTAGGGTTTAGGGTTTAAGGCTCCATGTACCTTTGTAGTAGATACTTCGGCCTTAAAGGGGTCCCTATATAGGTACTTTAAGGCCTAAGTGTATACTATACGGGTACATGGAGCCTTAGGGCAAAACACAAGGTTGGTGTCGTTAGGGGTGTAGGGATGTGCATAGGAAAGCTCCGTGGTTTGCATACATCCCAGAGGTTCATGCAATATAACTACTACCATTAGATGAGGGTTCCATAACATGGGTTTAAGAATTGCCTATGGGGTTTAAACTGCTTAATAGGATGCATAGCTTGACCTCTTTCGAAACAAAGATTCTCTTGCAACGAAGCAGGATGTCAATACACCTCATAGATCTCTTGAAGAAGCATTAATCTTAAGGGAGCCTCAAACAAGCGCACAAACACTCAAAACAATCGAAGAGGAACTCATACAGAAGCCTTACATCAAACCGAAACCGCCTAAATCCCCCGAGCCCTAAACCCTAAACTTCCAAAACGAATTGAAACGAAACCCTTCAGGGAAACCGGAGAAAAGAACCCCTTACAGTAGCTGCATGAATCAAGTACAGCTCTTTAAAAAAAGGCCTTAAAAGCAACCCCCAAAATGAAACTTCTCCCAAAGCCTGCAAAGGAGTTTAAGGTAGCCATTAGTATGATTTGGGGAAAGTACCCCCAATAACCCTACCCAGGACCCTTTGGGTATCTCTGCCTCGAGGAGTGCGTCCACAACCCCTGGACGACCCCGGGAAGCGGCCTTCGGAGAAAACGGAACAGATAGCGATTCGAGAGTTTGGGGTACATATGGGAGTTCCCGAAAATTAGGGTACCTTATTTTGGGGTCCTTATGATAAGGATCCTACTGTTTAGACCACTATCTTAGGGTCCCCTATTTTCGGAATCTCCCATATAGTGAACCCCAGAAAGTTGGAACATGAATTTAGGATGATTCGCACTGGGAATTCCTATACTTTGCCTTAAGAGCATGAGGATAAAGATGTTCCAGCTTTCTGGCTTCTACTGTAATACTTGGAGGTCAAGGGGACTTAGTAGGTTATAAGTAGGGTTATAATCGGGGTAACTCCATTTAAGGTACTCATTTGCCTACTTATAAGCTACTTCCTAGTTTTCCTGGGCCTCTAAGTGGGGTTTGGGGTATATGGGTGGTGGTCAAAATTAGGGTCCCTTTTTGGATCATTATTACAATACGGCACCTAATATTTAGGGTACCCCAAAAGGGACCATAATTGTGACAACCACCCATGTCCTGATTAAGAAAACCCGGCCCTAGAACCCCCAGTATATTGGGATCCTAAGGAACCTTTATAGAACCATAATAAAGGCCCAAGGTATCTTAATTGTGACAGCCACTACCCTAAACCCTAAACCCTAAACTCCCAAACCCCTAAACCCTAATTGTGACAGCCACCCATACCTTAAGCCGGAATAACCTACCTTTTTGAAGACTTGTATAAGGAAATCATAATAAGGGATCCTAAAAAGGGAGGTTATTCCGGCTTAAGGTATGGTCCCGAGACCCTAAGCCGCGAGTCTCGGCCTGCCGGGCTCCAGTTGGAGGTTCCGGGTTCAAGCCCTTAGGGTTCCCACGGTTTAGGGTTTAGGGTTTAGGGTTGAGGGTTCTTCTTTTAGGATTTCGAGCTTAGCAGGACTAGGGTTACTTTGAGGGTATTTTTCGTTTAAGAGTTCGAATTTAGCCGGAAGAGTTTTTCTTTCTTTTAAGATTTCGAGTTTAAACGGATTAGGGTTGAGATTGCGGTTTAGACTTCAGGATTCAGAGGTGTTTGGAGTTTAGGGCTTCGCCTGCCCTCCTCCCAGCTCTCGCACAAAGAATGGAGCAACACGGACACCGCTGGATCAGCGCATCGATAGCGTGGGACCAGCGGTCCCACCGCCGGCGCGCTGCCCAGAGATCCCAATACCCCTTAATTCAGGAATATACCTTAAATCACAAAATTAAAGCCCCTATAATTTAAGGCATATTCCTTAGTTAAGGGGTATTGGGATCTCTGAGTGGGGTTTCCGATGCTCGCCAGGAGTCAAGCTCCTTTGCTCCCTTCCCGCCGCCCTTCGCGGTCAACCATCGTCGATCCAGAGCACTGCTTCAAGGCCCAGGGGACTTAGGAAGAAGGTCATGAGTAGGGTTATAAGTGCCCTAAATGGAGTTACCCCAATTATAACCCTACTTATAATCTATGCTTACTAAGTCCCCTGGGCCGCCAAGTGTGTCCCATGGGCGTCCAGCACGGCCTCCTGCGGCAGGCGGTTCACGATCAGCCCCGCAGGGAAATCCACGCCCGTCTGGACAACGCAGGTTAAGGCTTCTTCGGACGGTCCACACTTGGGTAGTTATATAAGTATAGTTAGAAGTCCCCCAATATGAGTTATAAGTATAGCTACCCTGCTTATACCCCTACTCATAACTACCCATGAACCTCCAAGCAGGACTCGATGTGCTTGAGGGCTCCGTGAAGGTTCCTTAAAGGGATCCAGATAGTCTCATAAGGGGTCTTAGGGTTCAATGGCGCCCATAATTATGGAATTAAATTCCCAAAGGGTCCAAAGTACCGTCATGGGGGATACTTCCCCAAATCATAATAGTAGTTCCTAGTATAGAAACCCTACATTCTACTATAAGGGTACTTCGGACCCTTTGGGTTATAAGGTACTTGAGAGTAGACTGGGAAGCTTCCCCGGAACCCTCAACCGAAAACCTCGGAAGTATCTGAGGGGAGCTTACATGATTATGAGGTACTTGGGGCCTCGGGGGCTTTACGGTTTAGGGTTTAGGGGTTTAGGGTTTAGCGTTCCTTTCATGGATCCTTTACAGGTTCCATAAGGGCTTCGAAGGGTTTAGAGGCCCTCCCCCCGTTTAGCCCAGGATTCGATATTGGAGTTTCCGAAAATTAGAGGTACATTATTTGGGGTCCTCATTGTAAGGATCCTATTATTTCAGGTACGACTTTGGGTCCCACGTTTTCGGAAACTCCCAGATAGAGCCCTTGATGGTTAACATTTTGCGGGATTCAGGGTTCTCTTGGGGTACCTGGTTTAATGTTATTAGGGTTTAGAGTTAATCTAACCCTAAACCCTAAAAAATCCTCTAATAGAGGATTTAAGGTTCTTTCCGTGTTCTTGGTTTTATCACGTTTTAAAGTCGGCTCCTTCGGGCTGACCCCTCGACGCCTCGTGAAGAGGCGTCCACCCAGCCGGATCCTCCCAAGGCAAAATACCGGGTCTAGGTTTTACGGTGACGCACGTCTTCTCAATGACTGGTTTAAAGTCGGGTGGAGCTGGGCACAAGATTATACACACACATTCGCACACAATACATGATACCAGTATGTATGTGTATGTATATATATATATACACACACTATACACGTTTGTACATAAATATATCAGCATATCAATATAAGTATATACACACATACGTACAATATGAGCGAATGACCGAACAAACACAAACATACGCAAGAAGGAACGAACGACTGAACCATACGAAGGACCAAAAGCCTGACGGAATGACAAACTAACAATAAACTAACTGACTGAATGAGCGAGTGAGTGAATCAGCGAGCGAATGCAACGTCAAACAACCCCAGAGGCTCTACAGCCCTCTGA